CATTCTGATTCTGGCTCCCACATTCCCAAGGTCATGTCCAACCTGTGTTTTCTGCAACGCCCTGAGAAACATTTCAAAGGAAGAACTGGTAAGTCTTGGAGACGGACACGGGCCAATGCCTGCAATGTGGGAACACTAGGGACCGAAGCCAACAACAAGGGAGAGGCAAAACTGGAGAGGCAAGAGATAAATGTGGAAACAATTTGCTGAGGGAGGCAGGGACAAGTTGCATTAAGGGGACAGCTGGCTGGGTTAGACTTAGAGGGAAGAAGAGGCCCTGAGAGAAAGGTGACACTGCCGGAAGGGGGAGGAAGGGCCTTGGGAATTAGATGCAAGGTCTGCGAGTGACTAGGGGCTGATCCCAAAGTCAGACACCTTCATTCATTTTTCCTTTTAAAATCCTCTGGAAGCCACGGAGCCACTAAGCCCATGCGCCACAACTACTGAGCCTGCGCTCTAGAGCCCGCGAGCCACAACTACTGAAGCCTGCGCGCCTAGAGCCTGTGCTCCACAAGAGAAGCCGCTGCAATGACAAGCCTGTGCACCGCAACGAAGAGTAGCCCCCGCTCGCCGCAACTAGAGAAAGCCTGCGCGCAGCAAAAAACACCCAAAACAGCCAAAAAAAAAAAAAAAAAAGTCCTCTGGAAGTCTCTCAAGGTGTTAACTCTTCTATTTCTAGGGATTTATCTTACGGAAGCCCGGGAGCCAGTGTTTACCACATGGTGCCCGCCTTACAGAAATTCAGTTTTTGTTAAACGAATGAAATGATGCAGGGCTTTGGGTGCACTTGAATTCACTTCCATGTACTGATTCAGTTTTGTGGTATCGTTGTTCTGTAGGTCCAACGTCATCTACTTTTTTACATCCCTCAGAACTATGCTGATACTGTGCCTGCATCATTGATGTCTGCTAGCTGAATCTAAATTCAGTTAATAATGGACATTTGCATTAACATATTGGTATTAGAATCTGAATGATGTATATAATTTTCTTTGCATAATCTCCACTGCTCACAGACCGACCTCATTTTTTACTGTTAAAATTGACCCTAATCTACTCTTTAATCCTCATTTTGGACCACTCTCCTATGTGAACTGTTGGAAACAGTCTGGTTTGCTCACCATTTTCCAGATGTGCTTTTCACACTTAATACCTTTGTGACTCCTAAATGGTGACTTGGAAGGTCCCACTGAATTTTTTTTTTTTATGATGATTCATCCTTAGGCAAATTCTTAAACTTTCTAAGCCTCAGTTTCCTCATTCTTAACATGAGAATAATAGAGTCTAGCTCAGACTTGCCTGTGGTGAGATAATGCACATATTATGCATTTTCAAATTTCAGCTCTCTCATGTACTAGCTGTGTGATCTTGTCTAGGCCCCCTGGTCTTTGGGCTCTGATTTCCTCCTTTATGAAATGCGGCGAGGGCAGAAAGCATTCTGCAGTGCTTGTGCTCAGTTTAAGGTAGTGCTGTCCCACCGGGCTTGCAGCTACATGTCCTTGGGCGCTTCTCAGTCTCTCTGGGCCTCAGCTTTCTCAGTTGTGAAGTTAGCGTATTAACAGCACCTGACCGTTGTGAAGATCAGTGATGTGTATCCAGGATGCTTGCCAAGGACTAAAACATCATAGTAGTTCCCTTTTAGTGGAGATGGGTGACAGCATTATAGCTGATGTCACCAGCCATTAAGATCTTCCAACCCTTGCTTACAAAGCACTTTTTCGATAATTTAGTTTTCCACGTAGCTTTCCTGTGGTGAAATTCAAAAGCTATTTCCATTTACCCAAAAGCAAACCTTAGTGTGTGCATTTGGGATGGCTTGGATTCAATTGCGTGAGGGATCCAAACATGATTCTCGCCTTATTTGAGACCACTTCAAATAAGGCAGGTCCCAACTATGGAGTTGCTGATGGACAGTTTTCTCCCCTTTCCTCCTCTTCATTGTCTGTAAGTGGGAGTCAAATCTGGGTTTCTGTCACTTGACAGCTGAAGGGGGAAGATATTCTGCCTCTTGTCAGAAATCCTTGCGTCTCTATTCCAAACCTAGGAACAGTGCTTGTCATGGACATCAGGGTAAGTTGTAAAGGAACTAGTAGGGCTTGTACAAGGGAAAACTCCTGTCATCTTTTCTGACCTCTTGTAATGGTTACCATGCTGCCCACACCAGAACTGCAGTTTTGGACAATGACCAGTGCTTGGGATATAAATTCTTGTAACACGTTTTGGGGCTTTTACTTTTATGATTTTGCTACAAAATGAAATATGCAACTCCTTCGTCTATCTCTGAAAGGTTAAATTCTCTCCTCTTCATGTCTTTGTTATTTGCTAACTTTGGTAATCTTGTAGCATCAGATCATACTGTCCCACAGGAATATATGCGCTGTAACGTCAACTAATCAAGTTGTTCCAAGTAGTTATCCATCGTAACAATTTAACTAGCCTGGATGCCCTATCTCAGTTGGTGGCACAACCTTGACCTACTAAGCCCCAAACTTGAGATTTTTGTGACTTTTCCTCTCATTCCACTTCAACCTCATCTTACTGATTGAACTTCCTATTTCTGAGCTTCTTTTTAAAATTTATTTTACTTACATTTATTTTTGGCTGCATCGGGTCTTCGTTGCTGTGCGCGGGTTTTCTCTAGTTGCGGCGAGCAGGGGCTACTCTTCGTTGCAGTGCGCGGGCTTCTCATTGCGGTGGCTTCTTTTGTTGTGGAGCATGGGCTCTAGGCACGCGGGCTTCAGTAGTTGTGGCATGTGGGCTCAGAAGTTGTGGCTCGCGGGTTCCAGAGCACAGGCTCAGTAGTTGTGGCACAAGGGCTTCATTGCTCTGTGGCATGTGGGATCTTCCCAGACCAGGGTTCGAACCTGTGTCCCCTGCCTTGGCAGGTGGATTCTTAACCACTGCACCACCAGGGAAGCCCTGAACTTCCTATTTCTGAACCCGTCTCTCTCTCCATCTTTACAATGATTGCCCTAATGCATCTCATCTCTTTCCTATTTTCAGGGTCGACTAAGTGATTTTCCTGCCTCTTGGTCTTAACCCTTTCAAATCCATCCTACAATGAAAAGAATCCTTTCTGGCTTAGAACCCTTCAGTTGTTCCCAATTTTAACTCCCCCCCCAATTTAAACTTTGATTTAATGGGTCCCATTCATACTTCCAAAGTCACCCCAAGTAGTCATATTAAACTTGAATTCCTTAAACTTGGAATGTTATTCATGTCTTGGCCCTTTGTTGTTCATGTACCTGGAATCCCTTTCCACACACTGAAGACTCAAACTTCTACCATCTCCCCCTCCCACAGGTGGGTTAACCTTCCTTCTTGTCATTCTTTGCAACGATGTAAGCATCATTTCTCCTAAAAGACACTGAAATCTTGGATGGCAAAGCTGTAGCTCATTCCTTCATCTCAATCCCCATCAGTGTTTGCTGAACCAACAGATACAAGAAAAGACTGCTGATGCACTCGTTCAAACACGTTTGGATCGCTCCCTTACAAACATATATAAAAACTTTTGCTATGTGGTGTCTAAATAATTAAAAGCTGGCACGTACAGGGTGCTTGCTGTATGCTAAGAACACATATTAACCCATTACACCCTCACAACCCTATGAAGTAGGCACAAATATTATCTACAGTTTACAAGTGAGGAAAATTGAGGCTCAGAGGTTGTGATTTGCTCAAAGTCACACACTGAACAGCCCGGCAAGGCCCAGGGTCAGTCCCACTCCAGGGTCTGCTCTAAACCACTACCTTTAACTTTTCTATGCTGTGGCTGTTATTCTACTGCGTAGGAATTGGGATTACAATGTCCTCTCCACGAGGACAGTATTTTGCTCGCTGTTGTACCTTAGGATTCCGAATAGGGCTCGTTGGCTATGCCGAGTGAATGAATCCGCAGCCTACCATGGCATTAAGGGAATTTTCTGGACCCTTGTGCACTGCTCCAGCCTCAAATCCTACTACTGTCTTCCAAGAGCATCCTAGTGACGCATGGTTCCCCCCCCTCGCTCCGCCCCGGGTGTCCCTCAAGGGACTGGGCTGCTGCGTGTCTATTGCCCACTTCCTCCCACCCGCCTTCCTATCCGGCTAAGTCATCGCCGGCCTGGACTGCCTTCCCGGACTAAAGAAGTTGACATCCTCAGCGTTGTACTGCATTTTCTTTAACCCTTTCTACAAGACTGCTGGGCTCTCCTAGGACTGCGGCTCGGCCTCATGATTCTATCTTCTTCTACTGCACGCGGCAACGTGGACTCTTAGTAAACGTTTGCTGTGCTCTCCAAGCTACAGAGGCTCAGTGTCCGCGGCCCCCCGGTCCCCACCCCCATCCTGTGACTTCCCCACATCCCTCCTCCACTCTCGGGGGAAAGCTTCTCGGCCGGCCTTCTCTTTGCGGGCGACACGATTCTCAGGTGTAAGGGTTTCGCGTCCTCGAAGCAAGCGATCTTCCGTGGGGGGCAAACACACTGGCCCCAGATGACCGTCCGTGAGGTCCTTTCCGAGAGCCCGAAGCTGGCGACCGCGCCGCACCCGCCGCGCGCCCTGGGACCCCCGCTTCCACGTCGAGGGGGGTCCGCTCCGGCCTTTGAAGCGGAGACCTGTCCCTCTCCCGCCCCCGCCCCCGCACGACCCCCACCCGACCTCCGCCCACGCCGCCCGCCCCTCAGCGCAGTCGGGCCGCCGCCTCACAATGGCCGGGTGCCTTCTCACCGCGCGCAGGGATCCCGGCCACGCGCGCTCCCCTCCCCCACGCGCCGCCTCCTCCTCCGGGGCTCGGCCCCTGGCGCACATAGTCTCCGCCCTGCGCCCCCTGAAGCGGAGGAGAGGGAGGCGAGGCGTGCTCTTCCAGCCGCGGCCCGATCGCCGTTTGTCCGGTGGCGCCGGCGGCCCCCCACGGAGGAACTACTTTCTCTTCCTCAGGGGCACTACTTCGCGGAGGCGTCGGCGCTGGCGGCGCGCACGGCATGGCGGCGGCGGCGGCGGCGGCGGCGGCGGCGGCGGCGCGCCTGAGGTAGAGAGACGCCGGCCCGGTCAGGCCTCGGCGCGGCCTACACGCTTCGCTCACCCGCTCCCGCCCCGGCTCCGCGCCCGGCCATGGCGGAGTCCTCGCCCGCCCGACGCCCGGTGCCCCTCATCGAGTCGGGTAAGACGCGCCGCCCGCGGCGCCCCCGCCCCGGCCGCGGCCCCCTCTTCGCCGCCGCGCCAGCTCCTGACCCGATTCCCCGTCTCCCCGCAGAGCTGTACTTCCTTATCGCTCGGTACCTATCGGCCGGCCCGTGTCGGAGAGCCGCCCAGGTGAGTGCGGGCCCGCGGGCGGCGGCCGCGCTCCGGCGGTCGCGGCCCCGCCGCCGCCTGGGGTCGCGGGAGGAGGGCGCCTGGCGGACCGGGCTACGGCCCCCGCCCCCCTAACTGCGCGTCTCTTCGGCTGCAGGTGCTGGTGCAGGAGCTGGAGCAGTACCAGGTCTGTGCTGCGCGGCGGCGCCCGGCCCGCCGCGTCCCCTGCGTCCCCTGCGTCCCCTGCCGGCCCTGCCCGGGGGCCGCTCGCCCGGCTCCCCCGTCCCCCGCCCCGCCGCCCCCCGCCCCCCGCCCGGCCCCGCGCGGTGGTCACTCGTGTGCGTCTCGGGTCTTTGCAGTTGCTGCCGAAGAGGTTGGATTGGGAGGGCAACGAGCACAACAGGAGCTACGAGGAATTGGTGAGAGTTTTGACATTTCCATCCCGGTGTTTCCGAGCGCCCGCCCCCCGCCCCCTTTTCTGGTCTCCTTCTGGAGGGGCGAAGTGACCGAGCGGCGCTCGGAGGGGGCGGGAGGGCGGCCTGGGCGTCACCGGGACGACGGGACTCCGCCCTGTAGGTAGTATTTTGCTTTGGGGTGGCCGGGTTTGTTTGGGTAGGAAACGGCTCCGGGGGGCGAGGTGGCGGGGTGGGTCCCCAGGTGCGGTGCTTCTGGTGAGAGCCGGGGGCGCTCCAGCCATTCAGCGAGCTGCTCTCATCCGTGTTTCTCCTGAACCCGACTTGTAACTCGACCTGTGATTGGTCTTCCTCTTTTTGCCCCGCCCATCTTCTCCAACCACTTGTTCCTAGGAATAGAAGCTTCGGTGTCTGAAAGGTGGAGAAATGTTCCTCTTTTTTCCCCCAGCAGAGTAATAAAAAATCTTGGCTGCTGTGAGACTGTGCCGCTCCTCCAATACTTGTGCCGCTGTAAACTGTGCTACACTTGTTGAATGCCTTAGGAAAGTTAATGTGATGAATTTTTACGTTGCTGTTTAGTGTATGTTACTTAACATAGGCTCTAAATACGCAGTTTCTCTTTCTGGAGCACCATTTAACGTAGATTACAGTTCTCTTTCCATTGTATTTTGTCGTCTTTTTTAGTTGCTCTCACAGTATATGATTTGGTTTGATTCACTTGTTTTGTCCTTAGTGAAATAAAACATTTTTCAGGAAAATATTTTTCCAATTTGTATATTAGGACAAAGGATTTCTTTAGTTGCCAGGTCATATTCAGCATCTTGTATGCACAAAACAACTGGGGGGAAAAAAAAAGTTCCTGAATGATTTTTTACCACAGTTCTAATACCTGCGAGCAGAAGTTGGTAGAATATGATCACCATTGTTGAATTATACAAAAGAACAGAAATAGGGGGATTTGTTATCTGTATGTGAACAGTTAAGTATTTTTTTAAAAACTTAATTGAAGTATAGTTGATTTACAATGTTGAGGTAATTTGTGCTATACAGCAAAGTGATTCAGTTATATATACGTTCTTTTTCACATTTCTTTCCATTATGGTTTGTCACAGGATATTGAATCTAGTTCCCTGTGCTCTACAGTAGGACCTTGTTGTGTATCCATCCTCTATATAGTAGTTGGCATCTGCTGACCCCAAGCTCCCAGTCCTTCCCTCCACCACTCCTCCTCCCCCGTGGCAACCACAAGTCTGTTCTCTGTCTGTGAGTCTGTTTCTGTTTTCGTAGATACTGAACACTTCAGTGTTAACAGTTAAAGTTGGTTGAATGTAACAAAAGATTCTATTTCAATTGTCAGTTTTAATATTTGCCTTCCTAGAGTTTTTTTGAAGCAAACACTTAAAAGTGAATATTTTCAAGCAAGTGAGCTCTAAAGGTTCTGTATCATGGCAGTTTTTATGTTTTCTTGAGTTTGACATTTTGAGACTTAAGGAAATGTTTAAAGGAGTGCTCCGTTTTATTGTTTTACTCCTGTTATTAGGTGAAAACAGTGTTGTCAGTGAAGCAGAAAAGCATTAATATTTTTAAAATTTATTTTTTATTGAAGTATAGTTGAATTACAATGTGTTAATTATTGCTGTACAGCAGAGTGACTCAGTTATACACATATATACATCCTTTTTCATATTTTGCATCATGGTTTATCATAGGATATTGACTGTAGTTCCTGTGCTGTACAGTAGGACCTTGTTGTTTATTCATTCTATATATACCAGTTTGCACTGCTAATTCCAAACTCCCAATCCAACCCTCTCCCACCTCCCTCCCCAGAAAAGCATCATTGACATGACAGTGCAGTCATGCTGCTGAAGAGAAAATTGCTTACATTTTGAAATAAGCATAATGCTGTAAATACTGGAAAAGTTTCTTTAAAAATAGATTTGTATATTTTTTGGATTTTGCTGGTAGAATTGCTTAAAACTTAAAATTCTGCTTTAAATTATTCAGAATCTCTCTTTGTGATATATCCCTATGATGTGGTTGCGACATATGTCTTCTCATTGTCTGGATGATTTGTCTGATGGGTATCCTCTTCCTCCTTTACCTTCCTGCCTCCTCCTCTCCCAGCACTAAATGGTAGAGGATGAGTTTCCTGTCTAGAGAATTATTCTTTTGTCAAGGGTATGAGTAGCTTCTAGTTCTCCAACAAAGTCTCCTTTTTTTAAAAAAAAATATTTTAAGAAGTGTTTAAATATACACAAATGAGAATAATGTAATGAATCTGCATATATCATAAACAAATTCATTAGCAATTTTTTTTTTTTTTTTCTTTTGGCCTCACCCTGTGGCATGTGGAACTTCCCTGACCAGGAATTGAACCTGCGCCCCCTGCAGTGGAAGCACGGAGGCATCACCATTGGACCCCTGGGGAAGTCCCCCAATTTGCTATACTTATTTATTTTTTTATATTTGGCTTGAATTGGGCTTCCGAAGTTCCATGCATTGGGCCGAAATTAAATCTCTTTTTATCTTGCATAGTATTTTTTTCCCCGTGCTGTTGATTTACTGAAGAGACTGAGTTATTCTGTAGAATGTTTCACATATTGGTTTTGTCTGATTGTTTCTTATAATGTTGTTTGTTTCTTTACTTTGTTTAATTTATTCCTTTTTCTCAGTAGTTCGCATTCTTGGATCAGAACCACCTGGGAGCTTTATAAAATCTGGATGCCCAGGCTATGCCCCAGACCAGTTAAATAAGAATCTTTGTGGTGGGGCTGGACATTACTATTTTTTAAAGCCTTTCAGGTGATTCCCATATCACTGTTTACAAAGATACGGTTTATCTTAGACTTGTGACCATGCTGTTATTCCAGCATGTACTTTGGAAGTAAGAATGCTTTTGATACTTCTCAGGAGAATTGAGACTAGTCATCTCTCGATACCTAACCCTGCATTAGCAGTTGGGCCTGTGAATTTAATTGGAATTTTTATGATTTATAGGTGGTGAAGAAAGGGGAAGAGTGAAATAGAAGTATAGAACTGGGCATGGGAATTGGGAAGGACTAGGTTTGTAAAAGGAGGGGTGTATTTAAAAAGGGGAAAGTGATTTGATATACTTTGTGATTGAGTAACATGATAGATCAATTTTTGTAGGCAATCTCTTAACCAGAAAAAAAAAACATCAGAAGATTCGTATAGTGTAGCCTATCATTAGGGGATTTATCGTCATTAAGTTGTCATTTATTTATTTTTGGCTGCGTCCAGTCTTCGTCGCTGTGTGTGGGCTTTCTCTGGTTGTGGCAAGCGTTGCGGTGACTTCTCTTGGTGCACAGCACGGGCTCCAGGCGCGTGGGCTTCAGTAGTTGCAACACGCAGGCTCAGTAGTTGTGGCTTACGGGCTCTAGAGCGCAGACTCAGTAGTGGTGGCGCACGGGCTTAGTTGCTCCGCGGCATGTGGGATCTTCCCGGACCAGGGCTCGTGTCCCTTGCATTGGCAGGCAGATTTTTAACCACTGTGCCACCAGGGAAGTCCCTTGATATATATATATTTTAAAATAATGTTTGAGTAGGCCTTTTGTGTGAGGGAAAGTCTTCAGAGTTATTTGTATTGAAATCAGTATCTGGTTTATTAGAATTGTAAGTGGTCATAGTTTTTAAACTTTTACGTTCATTTACAAATTTTAGAAGTCTAGTAACATATAGAAACAAGTATATTTGTTTTTACATTTTGATTAGTGTTTAATTTGTCACAAGAATTAAATCTTAAAATATTTAACACCAACTTAATATTGTTAATTAAATTTCCTTGGGGGTTTCCACACTATATATGCAAATAGATGATGATTTTAATCTATAGATGTCTCAAGATGGCAAACATAAGATCTAAGCATAATCTTTCTAAGAATTTAACTGTTGTAAGTATATTTTACTTATTTATTTATATTTTTGCCTGCTCCATGCAGCACGCGGGATCTTAGTTCCCCAACCAGGGATCGCACCTGTGCCCCCTGCAATGGAAGTGCAGAGTCCTAACTACTGGACCACCAGGGAATTCCCAGTATATTTTTATTTTATTTTATTTTATTTATTTATTATAAATTCATTTTAATTTATTTATTTTTGGTTGCCTTGGGTCTTTGTTGCTGCGTGCGGGCTTTCTCTAGTTATGGCGAGCGGGGGCTACTCTTCTTTGTGGTATGAGTGCTTCTCGTTGTGGTGACTTCCCTTGTTGCGGAGCACGGGCTCTAGGCCTGTGGGCTTCAGTAGTTGTGGCATCTGGGCTCACTAGTTGTGGCGCATGGGCTTAGTCGCTCCGCGGCACGTGGGATATTCCTGGACCAGAGTTCGAACCCGTGTCCCCTGCATTGGCAGGTGGATTCTTAACCATTGTGCCACCCGGGAAGTCCTATTTTATTTATTTTTATTTTAAAAAAATTATTTATTTATTTGGCAGCATCGGGTCTTAGTTGCAGCATACGGGATCTCTCATTGTGGCGTGCGGGCTCCAGAGCTTGCGGGCCCAGTAATTGTGGTGCGTGGGCTTAGTTGCCCAATCAGGGATCGAACCCATGTCCCCTGCATTGGAAGGTGGATTCTTAAACACTGGACCACCAGGGAGTCCCGTAAATGTATCTTAAATTTATTGTAGCAAATTATTCTTTTTTACTCTTACAAACATTAAAAATAGTTCAGTTATTACAAAACTTGTTACTATATCAGAATAACTGTAACTTGCACAAGTGTATCCATACTTCTTTTCTTCATCTCTACTTATTTGTCAACCTTCCTCGGTTTATGAATTCACTGTCCAAACCAAGGGGAGAGTGGTATTACCATCTTGAGCTCCCTACTGGATTAAGGACTCAGGTTATGATTGAAGATTATGACTCAGGTCTTGAAATTTGGGTGCACTGCCACATAGACTCTCCTGTAGTCTCAAATTGAGCCTTTTTTTAAAAAATAGCAAGGCTACTTATTTACCCATTTAAAACAAAACAACTCCTGGG